CAGATAAGCCATGTAGTATACTGTGTTCACTTTTTCTTTCCTGAACATTTTGTTTTCCATGGAATTCATAATAGTCTTGTTTGTTTTTAAAAATTTGTTTGCTTTTTTGTGTACTTATGACTGAATCATCTCCAAATTCTTCCCTCGTTGTGCAAACTTCTCAATAGAGTTAACCACGTTAGATAGTCCATTAACTTTATCTTCTTGGAGAAGTCTTCCCTGGAAACTTCTGACTCACTCCAATCTGGGCTGTTTCCTCTCTAAGCTGTCATCTTGGGATCTCCCTTTACCATCTTTCTGAGGGTTCCTGGAGCTTCCTCCAGGTTGGGCCTTCTGTCTCATGGATCCTGTGTCTTCCTCTTTCGATTTACTCCCCTTTCTGGTGAAAAAAATTTGGAAGCACTTACAAGTCTGAAAATATCTTTAACCTACCCTCACACTTAATTGAGAATTTGTCTAGGGATAAAATTCTAGGTTTTAGATTATTTTCCCTCAGAATTTTGAAGACATTTTTCCATGTATTCTGGCTTCCAGTGGGACTGTTGAGAAGTGGGATGCTATTCTGATTCCTGATTCTTTGTATATCACCTGTTTTTTCCTCTTGTAGCATCTTTTCCCTGTCTCCAGTCTTCTGAAATTTCATGTTGATGTGCCTTGGTGTGAGTATTTCCCTTCAATATGTTATGCACTCGGCGGGCACTTCCTATTTCAAACTCATATCCTATGTTTTGGGAAACTTCCCTGAATGTTCCTTTCATTCTTCTTTGTTTTTATAAAGGACCCTGTTCTTATTTCATGAGTTTAATATCTTCCCTTATCACTCTGAAGATATTAATTGTAGCTTTTCTTTTGAAATATTCTTCTCCTCTCATCATCTCTGTTTCATCCAAGTTGCTTTTCCTGTTTATTTGTTTTGTATCTTTCATATTAGAGGCTTTCCTTAAATGTTCAGGGGCCTCTGGATGTTCACTTAATTTAAGAAAAGCATCCTAAGAAACAGATTAGAATCTCTATACATGAGTGCGGCTTAACAACAATGGGTATCACTGTAGAGTGATCTGGCCAGGCCATTTCATTAGAGGACACCCCCACCCTCACCCATGTCAGTGTCATTAGATCTTTTCTCAAGGGCTGGACAGATTCTCAAGAGAAGACTTCCAATTTTCTGCTTGGATGGAAGACCCAAGCCTGCCTGCCAGCAGACCAGGAGCTGATTAAGGGAAGAAGTGATACATGTATCAACATTCAGTGAGTAAAATTTCACTTAAAATCTCTGGTTTTAGTGTGGTACCCTCCTCCTGAACTATGTCTGGTGTTCCCTAGTCCAGAGAACACTTTCCTGGGTAGGAGAGATAATATGGACATCTAACTGCTTTTTTTAAAAAACAGCTTTATTGAAATATAATTCACAGAGGATACAACTTCACCTAAACGGAGTGTACTATTCAACAGTTTTTAGTATATTCACAGAGAGCATCCATCACTACAATCAATTTTAGAACATTCTTATTACCTCCAGAAGAAAACCCATCCAGATTAGCAGAAGTTCTCCATTCTTACCTCCCACTAGACCTACACAACCCTTAATCTACTTCCTATTTCTATGGATTTGCCTATTCTGGGCCTTTCATATAAACGGAAGCATACAACATGTGGTTCTTTGTGACTGGCTTCTTTCACTTTGCATAATGTTCAAGGCATGCTGTTGTGGCATGAATCAGAACTTCATTTCTTTTTATTGCTGACTAATATTCCATTGTATGGATACACCACATTCTATCTGTCCATTCATCCATCTAACCACTTTTTAAGTAGACTTTCATCCAATCTGCTGATTGTAGCTCAACTTCAACCTCATTTCAAGAAGAACCTCCAGTCACCAATTCCTAAGTCTTTTGGGGGATCTTCAGTGTAAATTAGATTGCTTTCTCAGTTTCCCAATTACCATTATAAAATCTGGCATTCTCAGATCTCCTAAGTAGCTATCATTTGGCCAGTTACTTTCCAGCACGCAAACTTTTGGTATTGTTGTCTCCTGATCTATTCTCTCTGTCTTTGTGATTTATGCCTTTTTCCCCACTAGCTCCCTTTACTGTATGTTAGAACAGTTTAGAAGAGAATGAAGGCTAATGTATACAATTAATCTGTCATCTTCAACTAAAATGCCTAAAATCAATCTGTAATAATACAAGAAGATATGGTTTTAGTCCAATTTTATGAAATCAACAGAAATAGTATAAAAAACACCAACATCATGGGCTGCCCCAGTGGCGTAGTGGTTAAGTTTGGCACTCTCTGCTTCAGCAGCCTGGGGTTCACAGGTTCAGATCCTGGGTGTGGACCTACACCACTCATCACACCACGTTGTGGCAGTGTCCCACATACAAAAAATAAAGGAGGATTGGCACAGATGTTAGCTCAGGTCCAATCTTCCTCACGAAAAAAATAAAATAAAATAAACCAACATCATAAAACAACAATAAACAGTTAACAGACAAATATATGCATGCAACAAGCTATGAATAATATACAATGTGGCTCTGGTTTTTGTTTTAAATAAGTATGACCAACAGAAATATCTCTGCCTTGGTCCTTCCTGATCCTTCCATTGCGCCTGGTTCATTGTCATCTGATGATCCTTTTCTGTGTCCCACACTGTCCCACAACCCATGCCTGTATCAGGAAGCATTTTATAGTAACTGCAGCGAATTCTCAGTCTCTCAGTCCACCACTGCTCCTTAAATAGACTCTTCAGCATGTTCTCTGGTTCTGCTGGTGCACGTTCCCAATTTCCTCCTGAATGTTTCTACATGCCACTGAAACATAAAGAGATCCGCTTGCCTCCAAGATCCAGTGAAAATGACTTCAGCATGTGCCCTTTCCTGGAAACAACTTTTTCAGTTGCAGCAGCTGCTGAGCAATGTGGTCAGTTACACAGACTACCTATGTCTCTACTATGAGACTACTACTGCGTCTCATGTCACAGATCATCTGGAACAGACTTAAGAACAAGACACAGGAAATAACAGGATCAATGATTATCGTATAGCAGTGCTTCCTGAAAACATAGTTCCCCACAATTCAACAGTCATTGAATCTGTTATTTCTTGTGTCTTGTTCTTAAGTCTGTGACATATGATCTATGACATGAGACACAGTTCCTATAATATATTTTATATTTGTTCAGCAAGTCTTTTTATACATAGGATTAGGCTGAATATTAGCCTTGTTCTGTCTGAATTATAATGTGTTACAAATTAGAATAATCCGTGACAAAACCACTTTAAATTATAACTCTGCCCCAGCAAGTGATAATTATTTTATTAAAGTATTTCATATCTAGTCACTCTGCAGAGTGCTGACTCCCAGCTTGAAGTCTCACCTTATGCCTGTGAGTCAGCATGCATCTGTGGGCCTCAATGTCTCAGAAAAACTTAGCTTAGTGGACCAGGCTTGCAGACCTGGGGAAGACATGGAAATTCCAACTTTCCATCCAGAATCTTCTTCCAACTTGCTGTGTGGCCTTCTACATCTCATTTCCTACTCACTCAGTTATTTCTTCGTTTCAGCATGAAAATGGTGTCTATTGGCTTCTCAGGGGCATTGTGAGAAAGGGGAAACTGGTGGTCAAAGAGAAAATGAACTGGAGTATTGAGATCCCCTCAACAGTTCTGAGCTGAAGCAGGAAGAGATTCAAGGCAGGACCGGAAACCCCAGCATGCATCCAGCCAAAACCAAAGTCTTGTTGTTGTTATAGAGAAAAGGGAACGATGTCTGATTTTAACATTCACACATTCCAAGCCACAGTCTTCCAAGCCCTTCTCTTGCCGCCAAGCCTGCTGGTGGGAGCCAGGTCTACAGGAAAGTTTCCAGAAAGCAGATTTTGGCAAAAGTTGCCTTTAAACCTGCAGAGAATACAGTTCAGTTTTCTTTTTTTTTCTAAGAACATTTTCATTCCTTTTTGCCACAGAATTTCATGGACTATGTTTATTTTTCCTTCTCAGGTCATAGTATGTGGATTTTTCATAGATGTGAGGAACAGACATTTCTTTCCTTTTTTTTTCTTGTTTCCTTACAAAATTCTTTCAGCTTGTAGGTGGAGTTGAAGTCTAAGATTGTGTTTTAGAGAATACTTTTTCTTCTGTTATCATTAAACTACTTCAGAGAAAAGAGGAAGTACCACAGTCTACTTTCTGACTGCTTTGAAAAGAGGCTAACGCGTTGAGGGAAATGAATGATTGTTGATTTTACTTACAGTCTTTGGACAAATGGCCTATGTGGCCCTGAGCCCTGGCACCCAGAGAGGGCAGTGGGCTGTGGGTCTGTTTCAGATAGTTTTGTATACCAAAAACACCCTGTGCAAGTGCACTGGTTTTAGAGGAATGTCCAAGAAAATTGCCCTCCTGCTCCTCACAACATGTCATTACGGAAAAATAGAAGGCCGTACATTCCAATCTGATTTTCATTTAACTCTGCAAGCTATGAATTTTGCCATGAGGTAAGAGGCTGATTCAGAGCCCCAGAATCCTTTTGGTGCCACAGACACTATTTTAAAATGGACATTCCTTCAGGTTTCTCAGTATGATTCTGCCAGGGGCATGGAATAAGCAGGGCTCTGTCTGATAAGAACTCCCAGTCCTGGTAAACAAGAACCGGGATGCCTGGTGGCCAAAGTAACTGCCTTATTTTTTAAAGGTTAGGAGTTCAAATCTTGTGGGTTTGCACTTGAGTTAAAGTATGCACGTATCCTGCTTGGAGAAGCAATAACATTACACCATGGAATCTGGCCTACCCACAGCTAAGTTCTGGCTACAATTAATTAAACAAATACTTCCTATGGAATTCTTTACCTTGTAGATCCTGAACAAAGTGTCTACATTCCAGAAGACGTAGGAAAGCTTTATTTTCCAAGCTTCCTGCTCTCTACAGTGTATATGTACTTGAATTCCACCACATCGACTAGAGTTCATACTTGACACATTCTTTAAATGTTGATGTACCTGTAGCCTCAGGCCTCCTTTCCACTCTTCAATTTCTTTTCTCCTGATTTTCCGGGGAGGTAATTTACAGATTGAAAGGCATGCTCTTTGTACTCATGACCCATTGGAAACAGACTCTGTTGGAAGAAAATATAACCTGTAACAGGGCCTATGATTTTAGTGATTCAACCTTCATAATACGTAGTTTTTCTATAGCATTTTACTGTTTATAAAGCACTTTACATATATGAGCTCCTTTCAGCCTCATAGCCATGAGTTAAAGTTAATATTGTGCCCATTTTGCGGACAAAAAAAAAACGAGACCCAGAGTTGTTAAGAGACTCAGCAAGTTGGTGTCAGAGCTGGTACTCCAGCTCAGACCTTTACAGCTCTAAAGGTTTTCATCACTATTGTGGAATTGCCTCTAATAGCAAAAAACTGCCATAGAATCACGTTCGTGTTCCAGATTTTGTTGGTGGTCCCACTTTATTGAGATGTGCTTGGTGGCACTGCCATCATGGAAAGAGAATAAATACCGAGGCTCCCTGTAGATGCTGAACACTTAATAGTATCAACAGTCGAATTGACTTGATTAAATTATCTGCTTCCCCATTCCCTCCTGGACACCCACAAATAAAGGGAAATAACCAGCTCTGTGTGCCCTCTTGCTCCAAGAAAGACTGAAACTGGAAACATCCCAGTATTGTGACTTGAAGTTACCTCAACAGGAAGTTCTGTTTTTTAAATTAAAACTCCAGTCAGTTTCTTTTTAGTTGTTCTTATCGCCAGTGGGGGCTTGGGGCAAATAGTTCCCAGGAAAGCTTTCGATATATACGTGACATGAAGACAATAATGATACCTGCTCCCTACCTACTTGGCAAGCGTTGGGAAAAACAACCAGATAATGTCTATCATGTGCTTTGAATGCCTAGAAAGAAAGATAAGGTTTATGTGCAAGGGTATAATTATATTGAGTCAGCAATGACATCATTGTCTGTATTTCACGTGTGTGGTTGTTGTCTAAGTCACTGCCGAATATAATTTGGCTCTCATGTTTGATGTTTTAAAGACGTGATGATGCTACAATAAATTAGCAGAAGAGCATAAGTTGGGAAGGTAAGGCATCTTCTTCTTTTAAAAATTCCTGTAAGACCGAAATTTATTTTAGGCTATCTTGCCCAGCTGGTCCTGCAGTTAGGACCATCTCCAAGGTTCGCAAAACACCCCTTCCATTTCTATGTTGGTCAAGGGATGCCCCCTCTAGAAAGGGCCAGCGTGCTGTGGCAAGTGGTGACCTGAGGAGGAGAGAAAATGTGTCCAATTCTGTGAATGGGCTACCAAAATGTGAAAGCCCAAATGGAGGATGTCTATGGCCATGCTTCTAGAAAGTCTACGCCTGTCAGGCCTGTCCCCATAGAACAATGCCCTGTCCCACGCCTAGCAGGACCATACCTGATGACCTGCCACCAACCACCATTTAAAATTGTTTAAAAGAATAACTCTACAAACTAAAACTGCAGTTGGTAACGATATTGAGTGCCTGTTTGTGTGCCAGGCACTGTGGGAGGTACTGGAGACAGAGCTAGAACGCTATTCCTCAGAGAAACAGTGTCCAGTGAGGAGAAGACAAGCCCAGAGCAAGACCAGCACCCAGCACAGTGTCTGCACGCAGGAGGACTCGAAACGCACGTGCTGAATGAATGAGCAAGATGTGCTGCAGGGTGACGAGGACGCGACAAAGGAAAGCAGGAGCGCCACGGGAACACGTAACAGGCAGCTCGCCAAGAGTAACACGAGGAGGAAGGAGACTGCAGGAAAGACGACGCACAACGGCCGCACAGGAAGCTGTGGGGAAGCACGTGGCTGACGATGACAAGAGCGTTAAGTGCCAGAATTTTTATTTTATCCTAGTTCACTTTTTTTAAAAAACGCCGTTCACAGCCCACACTTTTTAAAGCGTTAAAAAAATAACGCTGTTCTACCCACTGTGTGAAAAATTCTACGTTACTAGAAAGGATTTTCTCTTCTGCATATCTGTTGGCCTTGCGGTGGAGGACCAGACAACAGAATGGAAATGTCTGCTCGGGAGCGTGAACATTTCTGCCATTGAGCACAGTCCATCCCCAGCCCGTCTCCATGTTATCTGTCTTTGCGGAGTCCTGCCAACCATCTGTATTAGTTTCCTATTGCTGCTGGAACAAATGACCACAAGCGGTGGCTCAAGAAAACAGAAATCGATTTTCTTACAGTTCTGGAGACTGGAAGTCTGTATCAGTTTCACTAAGCTGAAATCAGGGTGTTGGCAGAGCTCCTCCCTGAGGCCCTAGGGAGAATCCATTCTCTGCCTCTTCCTCCAGCTGCTGGGGGCTACTGGCATTCATTGGCTTGTGGCCACATCGCTGGGATCTCTGCTTCCCTGGGTGCATTGCCTTCTCCTCTGCTGATTGCTGGCAAGCCTTACTCTCCCTGCCTCTTATGAGGACACTCAAGACTGCATTGGGGGCCCAGCTGGATACTCCAGGACAATCTCCCATCTCAAGATCCTTACCTTAATCGCATCTGTAGAGTCCTGTTTTGCCACATAGGTTCCAGGGATTAAGACGTGACTATCTTCTTTGGCAGGGAGTGAGGCGAAATATTCCACCTACCATGCCATCACCGTCTGAATCACTGGGTCTCTAGTACAAACCTGCTAAATATCTCAGTTGCCTTTCTCCTTACTTTCCTTCAAGAAGGCAGAATAACTACTCTCTTTTTTCTTTAGGGAAGAAGAAAAATGGGCCAAAGGAAGGGAGAGAACTTTTACTGAGCTCCTACTGTGTGTTAAATAATTTACATGCACTCTTCATAACAAGATTGCCACCATTTTGCAGATGAGAAAAGTGAGGCTGAGAGAGCCCAAGTAACTAGTCCAACATCTCCCAGCGGGTAAACAGTAGAGACAGAATTTGAACACAGATCTGTCTGATTTCAAAGGCCATGTCCTTTCCACTACACCAACATTCCTCAAATTTCATTAATTCTCTGACACTTCACAAAGGAAAAAAATTCTTACAGACCCCAGTTTGAGCAATACTACAAGAAACCATGGTATCCTCCCTCTTGAGAACTCCATTGTCAAGGATCTTCACAGTACGACCCAGGACGGCTGCTGCTTAGGAAAGGTTTTAATGGAACAAAGCATTTACTACTAATAGGACTTTAGCACTAGTGATCTGTTAATATTATAGATGCAAGTTAATTATTTCCACCACAGAGATGCCTCCGGAACTTCTGTCACGTTCAAGTAAATGGCTGTGGCATTTTCTGAGCTTAATCTAAATGAAAGTTTACCTGGATGTCCCACACAAGCTTTGTAGATTAAAAATGTCACCCTCGGGGCCGGCCCCGTGGCCAAGTGGTTAAGTTCGCATGCTCTGCTTCGGCCACCCAGGGTTTCACCAGTTCGGATCCTGGGCACGGACATGGCACTGCTCATCTGAGTCATGCAGAGGTGGCATCCCACATGCCACAACTAGAAGGACCCACAACTAGACATATACAACTATGTACCGGGGGGGCTTGGGGAGAAAAAGGAAAAATAAAATCTTTAAAGAAAAAAGTCACCCTCGTTCTAGCATATGCTAACCAACTATAATGATATTGAAGCCTAATGCTTATCATACAATTAGTGGATTACAATTACTATGGGCCAGGCACTGTTCTAAGCACTTTATGTAAATTGACATATTTGATACTCATGAGAATCCCATGAGGAAGGTCATATTCTTCTCTCCCTTTTACAAATGATAAAACTGAGGCACAGAAAGGTTAGGTAATTTCTCCAAAGTCACACAGCTAGTAAAAGGTGCAGAACTAAGATTAAACACAAGTTGTGTGGTTATAGACACCATCTTTTAACACAACTGAGAACAAGCATGCTTCCTCTGTGTCTAAACTCATTTCCTGGGCCCAGGCCTGAGATCTGAGCCCTGTCCCTGCCTCTGTCCTCCCTGGTCTGGAGCGGTTTTGCCCCATCAGGCTCTTCCTTGAGATGTTATGCTTACAGTTCACTGTGTAGTCACCCAGGACGCAGCCAAGGTGGAAGGACACTGTCCCTACATTGTATACTAGGAATTCCAGTCCATTCTACCTACCACCCATTCCCAAAAGCGTCTGCAGTGAAGGGAGAAGTGGAGCATCCGCTCCACCATCCCACACTGTTGCCACCCTAAGCCCCCAGTCTACCCTTTGGTGACCTTTTTCCTTCAAAGGTTTCCTTGGAAAAATACTCGAGTTACAGCAAGGGCGTCATGTGGCTTATCTCCGTCTTCCTAGGAATGCATGGGCCTCCAATTCCAAGAGCCCCCTTGCGTTCTTAATCATTTCTTCAGTTTTCATGACCCATTAGACATTTTTGCACTGAATCTCAAGTATATGAGGACAATTCAGTTCTAGGTGGGCTTCAGATCCAGCTGATCGCCTACGCTATTTCACAGCTACACCATCCAAGGCGTAGCACTTTCTCACATTCCTGGAGATCTGATCTTCTCCAACACACACTCCTAAGAAGATCAAAATCCCAGTGTCAAATGTGCAAGAATGCGTTCTACCCAAAGAAATGTACTTGGTTTGTTTTCTTGTTTGCATTTCTGGAAGATATATTCCTGGTCCCCGTCCGAATGAAGAGGCTGATTACCTGATCTTGGAACCCGCTTCCCTGTGAATAGATTGACAATCCTCAAAAGGTCCCAGTGAACAATGGAAGCTGTTCAAGTGGCTGGACAATCTAGAGGCAAGAGGAGCAACTCACTGTAGAAAATTATAATAATATAGATATTAAGTAAGTTCAACTGTCTGAGTTTCTCAAATTATACCTACTTACTCTGAGGTGAGCATAGCCAAGTTAGTTCCAAAACAAGGAATTTTTCTCATTTTTTAATCACTGATTTCTAGTTCCACTCCTAAGACTCCAGGCTCTGAAGTGGTCACCCCCACCAGTTTTCTCCTACACAGTCCAGTTTTGGGTCTGGGTCTGGCATCTAAGGATTTGTCAGCAGCCACAGCAGTACCATCTCTCTCCTTGGACCTCATCTTTTGGTTTCTGGACTCAACCCCAACATCTAGAAGTTTGCAAGCAGAAAGATATGTTCCCGAATAAGGAAGTCAATAGGAGATCCGTGTTTACACTTTCCATTCCTTTCCCATTCCCTGTACTCAGAGGGCCTTTCAATCTATTTAATCAGCTTCCCTAAACTGTAAGCTCGTCAGAGAAAAAATCCTGCTGATGCTTTGTTATTCCTTCATTTTTCTTGGTCAGTGCCCTGCAGACAACGCATGTGGCTGACAGACAGTAAGCAACAAAGTCTACGCCTCTAGTGGGGTGGGCAGTCTGCATATGCCTCCTGGTTCCTCTGAAAAATGACCACTCTGATTTTATTATTTAGTATGGTTTTTATTAGGAGAGGTCAGTTATTCCGAGGGGCAGATTTTTCTATCAACTGATCAAGAAATCTGCTGGAAGCTTTGCCATCTTAGGAATCCAGGTTGAAAGAAAACCATGCAAAATGCGGCTCTGGGAGAGTGAGTTCCTTTCTGAACAGGGCTGGCCCTGATTTGACCCTGCCTCTCCAAGGTCCCAGCAACTCTTGGACGGAAAACCGAAATGTTATACATATTTGTCATTCTAGTTTCCCAGCCTTTAAACATCCTTCCCATTTGGGGGGAACCCCAGAATAGAGGGAAGGCAAGACCCCGATTCCTACTTTAGAAGCCAAAGAGGGCAGAGAGTTTCTATCTGTGCCCCAGAAACTAGGAAACCAGCACATCACTTGGGCTCAGCCCATCAGAGACCCCATCATGTCATCTAGGACCTGAAGCCTGTGGGGAGGCAGAAGTCATTTGCAGTGGCTGTGGTGGATTTGAGTGCCCGCAAGCATAGCAACCAATGCCTGATCAGAGCCCAGCAGCATTATGACACGTGTCCAGCAGTGACAGCAGCAGCGGCGCACCCTAAGTGGACTATCCCTCTGGCAAGATCTTGGCTGTGTCCTGCCTCCCTCAATTTTTATTCATTTTCATCACCTGGTTCTCTAGCCTTCCCACTGATTCTGTGAGCTGCACAACACTCTTCCAATAAGTTCACTTTCCGCTCAAGTCAACTAGGAGAGATTTTGCTTGGTAGCAACCAAGAATTCCGACTGGTCTGCCAACGTCCTCCCATGGACACATGATCCAGTAACAAGTTAGTATGGAGGGCTTGATTGGGCCATTTCCTTGTCCCAGGTGGACCATTCCGCCATGTGTGAATTGCTTTACCCTCAGTCTGAAGGAGCTGTCCGCACTCCAAGGACAGACACAGAGGACCTTAGAAGACAAGCGCTATGGAACCCCAAGCAAACCAAGATAACTGACTAGAAGTGGGAGGAACAACCGACGGCTTCTCCGCAGGCAGGTGGATGTGTCCACTTAAGCACGAATGAAAAGTATAGAAACTTAATGTTGATTCTTTTTTAAAAATAAAGTTTATTTTGTTTTTCAGCTGAAATATAGAAATAATTCATGTTCATTGTTGAAGATATGGGGCAAACAAAAATAGACACAGTATATGTATGTATATGTACATATATGTACATAGTATATATATATATACATAGTATTTATATATATATATAGCATATATATATATATCCCCAGGTGCTAAATAAAAGACAGTGAACTCTGTCTTCTGGCTGAGAAGAACATTTCTCAAAATGTTTCCCATGTAACACTTACTCCTCCATCTGTTAACGGCTGCTAAAGATATCATATAAAAAGAGATGTTCTTGATCAGATAAGTTTGAGAAGTGCTGAGTTAAAGTTGAACACGTTTCTTTATTGTCTGAATTTTCAGAGTTCTAACACCCTAGAGTGCAGTGTGATTCTCAAGGACAGCAGCATTTTCCAACACATTTGACACAGAAAGCACATTCGAAAACACCTTTCCAGGGACTAGTGTTCTGGGGAGTGCTGACCCAGAAAGCTTAGAACTTCATATCGTTTTACCTTCCTCCCGCTTCTTTAGTTAAGAACCACTTCAGAGTCAGCAAGGGAAAAGGAGAATGTATTTCAGATACACAACAGCAAAATTTGGAAGTGAAATAACAGAAGGGGACCTTGGAAGTAATCTTCCTTTGCTGAATTATTTACAAAGATGTAAGAATATCCTCTAGGGAATGACTTTTATAGACAAACATCACAATTCATACCTGAGAGAACTGAGAAGAGAGCAATCTTGCCTTGAGAAATGTTGCTGTATAAATGGGTCTATCCACATTTAAGTAGAATATCTAGTCAGCTTACTAGAGCACTGAACCGCCAGTCTAAGGAGGTTAACTTAATGTTACTCAATATCATTTTAGTACTGCCTTTCCAAAAAAGGGCAGTTCCATATGAGAAATTTTTTAAATGATACAAACAAGGACAAGTGAGAAAATAGAACACAAAAAGTATAATTTAAGACAATGAGAATATCCTCACAGGAATCTTCGGCAAGAAATCCTGTCTTCACCTCATCGCTCTCATCTAACCTAATGTTTGGTCAGACTCCAAGGGGAATCTGTCACAGAATAAGTATGAAAACATGGCTTCTTCCATTAAACCAACAGGTTTGAATGCCCATTTGACACATGCAAAACTTGAGGGGAACAGGAAGTAAAAAAGAATCCCGAAATGCGTGATATCTCCTAACACACATCTTATCCACCACTTTTGAGTCCATTCTGTGAACTTGCTTTATGCCAAAACCCAGCCGCAAACCTCCTGCAATACTCCTGAATCTGGTATCTGTCATTTTTGGAAAAAACTAAATGTTTAGGAAAGTCTGGGAATTACCAGAGTTCAACCAGTACCTTTTTTCTGTGAAGGAGCCTAAAAGAGATTCTAAGGCAACTTCCTGATTTTTTGCCTGAAACTTCCATCCTGCTTCTGTTTGGAGAGGTGCTCAGCAGACCCCCATTACTGAGCGGGAGAGCGGGAGCTCCGGGTGACCCTTGGGAGGGCAACGGAATCTGAGAATAGCAAAGCTGGAAGGGAACTTAAGATCATCTCCTCTAGCCCAACCCCCTCTATTTACAAAAACATGAAGCCTGAAACCCACCCAGAATCCTGAGAGGGAATGCGCTTTCCTCTCTTCTTCTATTTTTGTGCAATTTTCCCATGGCATCTAGCCAGAGCATCTACATCAGTAATGTCTAGAGGATTTATGAGGCCAAGTGATCCTTTGGGTTTCTACGCAGACCTAAACAGGAAACCCACACAAGGAAATGCCCTTTCTGTTTGCAGGGCGAATTCTCAGGATGCTTTCCCCAGAGTGCCCTGGCTGGGACAAAACAAAGACCTGGTACAACAAGTGGCCTTAGATCCTGAGGCAGAGGTGCCCTCCCCAACCCCCTCCACCCACTCCCCAGTCCTGGGCTAATTTAATGAGAACAAGACTTGCTTCTCTCAGTCCTCGACTTAAGGTGCTTCATTGGTCTAGATGCTGACCAACGGGGGTCAGTCCTGAGGCATCCACCTCCGGGATTTCCCATTGAGTTCAAGGCTTGCTTCTTCTCACCTGTGCAAAATCAATTAACTGGGGAAGCGAGGCACTCCACGCACACCTCTCCTATTCTTTCTACATGTTGCATTTTGCCTCCAGAGGATGCCTTAGGGCTAAAAAAAATGTGCATTTCCTAGCCAAGGGGCAGCCAGATGCTAGTGAGTCCTCTGAGTCACTATTCCATCTTGTGATAGCCACTCAACCTGACACAGCTCTGCTTTCCTTTGCAGTAACTTCAACACCCAGTGTTCTGACAAATCTCATTTCCCCAAGTCATTAGTTCACCTGCCCTCATGTCAAGCCATTCCGGCCCATGATGGAATTTTTAAATCTTTTCAGCTCTCCATGGAAGATCTGAAACTTAAGAAAGAGACGGCTGCTCAGGGCTGGACAGGAAGGAAGCATGCATTCCTGGCTCACAGAACAGAACAGAACAGCAGTGCTGGTGACCCCTCTCCCCCTCCTCAAGGCATCCCCTAGGGCTGACACCAAAAATAGACTCTGTCCTCCTTGGTTCGCCCCCACCTCCCTTGGGAAAGAAGACTCAGGCTTCTAGTGAGCCAACCGTATTATCAGGGCCTGACTGTCTTTTAGGAATTACCAGATGTTCGGAAGAGGATAATGTGTCATTTCCTTTAGCAAATAGTCTGGGCATCTGTGCATTTCCTTTTGAGCCAGCTCTTTAGGAGAATGAGACATGGTGACGGTGAAGGACAAACCACTCTGGCCTCCATGCTCAGGGGTGCTGAGGGGCCTCTTCAAACACTTTGGTTCCAATCCTCCATTAAGAAAGTGTTTCTGTCCTCTGTGTGCATGTGTGACACCATGAGGAGACAGCATAGGTTTAAAGCAAGGGCTTAGAGACAAGACAAATGCTCTAAGGAAGAAGGACAAGTAGCCAAGAACATTGGGAGAAGGCTTAGAGTAATCAAACTGTTATCACACAAAGAGCCCAATCTGCTCGCCACAGGACAAAAGCCAATCGTCAAGAGGCAAGATGGTGGCAGAGAAAGGGCATTTTATTACAGCTTGCTAGCAAGAGGGAAGATGGCCTAATAATGTCCAAAAGAACAATCTTAAAAGGGACACAGAATCTTGAAGCAGTTATATAGGCCAGTGGGTTATAGGGGAGGGGTTAGGAATGTTGACCCTCTGGTGTTGCAGACTGGGAGTTGCCACACCAGATCTTTCAGTTTTCATTGAAGATGGCTATCAGCATAGACTCTCTGTTTGGGGGGTCATCACATTCCTAAGGAACTCAAAAGCATGAAGTTATCATCTTATTGCAGATGGCAGGTATATGCACTAGCAGAGGTCATAAAATCCACAGAACAGGTGGATCTCCTGGAGGGTGCAAATCCAGCTGGGTTAGTCAGTCAGAGGTCATTCAAAGTTACAACATGGTCTCTTTTCTACAATATGGCTTGCGTTATGTCAATCTTGTGTTGAGTCGGTTTCAATTCTGCCTTTTTGTTTTTCATTCCTCAATCTTGAGGGACATCCTGTCGTTGAGGAGCATAGGTTGTTCCATCTCATTGAACCAGTCTCTTAGTAAGATGGTGATGCAGGTGGGTTCCTGAAGTTAGGCCTATATTGGGTAAGCAAGTAACCAGGTATTTAATAAGAAGCATTTCTAGAGAGACAGAAGGAGAGTAAGGCTAATGGTGGGAGCAAATTATAAACCAGTTCTGAGCCCAGGGGCAGCCAGTCAAGAAGATTTCTAGATGTCAGGGTCAAAGCATCTTTTGCAGTTTTAGATGTCCCTGATGATGTCATTGGGTGTTCAGGTATCTTTCTGAGGGGCTTACACAGCAACAGATATGAATCTCTCCCTCTTAAGTTTATATCAAGTCCTCCAGCTTCAGTTTGCAAGACTTGGCAGGAAAAGGGCAGGTTCAGTTCTCAATGATTCCAAGTGAAAATGATGGAAAAAAATATTGAAATAGCTAGTTTGGAGATATGTAGCCAGATATTTCAAGAGACTAGAAGAGTTTAGGATCCAGTACAGTAAACAGATACAAACAAAAACCTCAAATGCACTTAACAGAACTAGAATCTAATATCCACGAATGTGTACCATAGCTCCTACTGAAATATAATTTTTCTCTCTAAAATCACCCCCTTTTTACCAAAGATAGCCAATTAAGACTCATTAGTTTGCAAAATAAGCCTAGTTTCAATAAAACTTAATTCAATTATTTACATAAGTACAGCAAGAATAGCCATTGATCATATATGCTTTTTAAAATCTGCTTTGCTGGAACTTTTTATAAGGAATCTCAGGTTGAACTTTAAAAGCTTCTTGAGGCCAGAAAATCCAAGCCAAGGATTTGTCATCAGGCTCCGCCTGCAACACT